CACACACAGAGAGAGAGAGAGAGAGAAGAGAGAGAGAGAGAGAGAGAGAGAGAGAGAGAGAGAGAGAGAGAGAGAGAGAGAGAGAGAGAGAGAGAGAGAGAGAGAGAGAGAGAGAGAGAGAGAGATGGACGGAAAGCAAGAGAGCCGGAAAGAGAGAGAGAGAGGAGGGGAGGGAGTGAGAAGAAAGGAATATATAGAAAGGAAGGAAAAGTAAAGCTAGGAAAAGAGAAAAATGGAGGAATAGCAAGAAAAGAAGAAAATAAAAAAGAGCCATACGGAAAAATAGAGGGGGAAAAGCAAAAAACACAGACACCGACACACGTAAAACCCGCAACAAAGATTTTTTTTTTTTTTTTTTTTTTTTTTTTTAGATAAAAGAGATTTTATTTTTTAAGATAAGAATGTCACCAATAAAAATGGAGATAAGCTTTGGCTCAGGGAAGTCGTATTTTCTTGAACACCTTATGACTCTCATGATTATAAGCGACGTGACAAATTCCATGTCATTTGGGCAACAGAATGTGTTCTGATCTTTTTATGAAAAATATAAGTGAGAGAAAGGGATACGAGAAGAGGGACAAATCCCACAAACTTTCGAAAAGGCTCACAATTCTTTCTTTTTTTCTAGAGTTTAGATTCATATATATCTTAGACTTAGACATTTACACATTGTATTCATTCCATGTATATGTATGAGATATCAGTGTCTACTACAGGCTATATCATTAACAGTTAGCGGCATATTTGCTTTCTATTTTCAACACGTATAGGTTGTAAATTTTGGAATGTGGAGACTTTCAGCCCTTTTTTCCTCATGCTTAGAACCGACGGTCGTATCTCCATCCTTAATCCGCGTTTACAGCGCGCGGTGCCACCTCGACTCCGGTGGTGCCGCGTCGGTCCTTCCAACGGCGCCTGTGCCAGCCTCCCAGTGGCGTCTCTTTGTCTGCTTCAGAGGTGGCTTTTGGCCTTTCGATGGTGCCCCTTTGGCATGTGTCATGGGGGTCACGGGGCAGCTTAAACCCAATGGTCTGGTTGCCATTTTTCAACGCACACGTGACACAAATCAGCTGAACTTCGAACCAGCCGCCGGACCTATGTGGCACCTTCTTCTTTCGTGCATTATGTTACGAAAGAATTAACCCGGCGCAGTCTATAGAATTATTTTCATCTATGCGCAAATCAGCTGAACTTCGAACCAGCCGCCGGACCTTTTTCCATCTACGTGGCACCTCCTTGTTTGTGCTTTATGTTACGAAAGAATTAACCCGGCGCAGTCTATGAAATGAGTTGCCACATATCTTTTCACTTCGTTAAATTTCAAAGCTTAAAGGAACAGAATGTACATTTTCTGATCGTGGATAAGGTGTTGTACGTCGTTTCGGCTTGGAGATTATTCTGAGGGAAAGCTTTAGGCATTCTGTTTGGATCTTTAGCAAACTTCATGAAGAAGGACTGATGAAATAATAGTCAAAATTAAGTAATTTAACAAATGAGTTCATGTATAAACGAGAAAAGAAATTCCTTATTAAATCATTTCATAATTCTGATAGCTGTTTATAATAATGAGCTCTTCGTTATCATAAATAAAGACAGGATTTTGGTTTTCCCTCTGGTTATGATAACACTATCGACTAAATTATAAAAATGATTTTGTATCAAGCTACATCTGATATGCCACGGTGCTCTCTCATTGGTTAACGCAATGACGTCATTAGATGTACTTTTTTAAATTTTATAGTAATATTTTTCAGCGCATCTTTTTAGTAATGAAAATTCACAGACGAAAAACCCTTTAAAACTTCAGTCCCAACTCACAAGATTTTTCTCTCAACCTACACTCTCACACCCAGAAAAAAATCTCTAAAACAAAATTTCAGCCCAAAACCACTCGATTTTTTTCGCAACCAAAACTTTAGCTTGAATTCGCACAAGAAAAAAATCTCTAAAGCAAAACCAGCCCAAACTCACACGATTTCTTTCAACCAAAACTTCAGCCTAAACTCACACAAAAAAACATCACACAATTTTTTTTTTTCTCTCTCTCTCTTAACCACAACTTCAGCCTAAACTCTCACACTCAGAAAAATCACGATTATTTTCTCAATCAATCACACACGTAAAAAAAGAAAAACAAAGAAAAGAAAAGAAAAAAACAACTAATACTTCAGCCCAAACCCACACTTTTTTTTTCTCTCTCTCTCTCTCTCTCAACCAACACCATCCTAAACTCACACGAAAAAAAAACATCAGCCAAAACTTTACCCGAAACTCACACACACAAAACAAATCTCTCAGCCCAAACTTCATCCCAAACTCACACACACACAAAATCTCTCGGCCAAAACTTGAAAACTTCATCCTCAACTCACTGATCATGTTGCCTGCGTAGAACCACCCTCACGCAGTCGAAGCTCCCGGGATTGTGGACCGAATCAGCCCAAACAATTTTACATACTGCCTTATCAGACCTAATCCCAAGACCAAACGTAATTGGGTTTTGTCACGCGCGATTAACACCTTTTTCTCTCTTCCGTTTTTATCGGAGTTGATAATTGATATCAGATGACGTTAGTCCTTTTATTGTGACGTATCTGACGGAAATAGTTTGTTGATGTGTCAGAAAGATTGATTGTGTTATGTATGTCGTTATTAATCATTTTTTATCATCGTCATTCAAATCATAGTCATAATAATTAAAGTCATAATTATAATCATAATCATGAAAATCATAACTATTATCATAATCATAATAATCATAACTATTATCATAGCAATGAAAATCATGATTATAACCATAGCCATCAAACTCGTACTCATAATTGTAATCATTATCATTAGCATCCTCATTTTCCTACTCATCATCATTATGATTATTATCATGTTCCTTGCCATTATCATCAGGATTTTTTGCGTTGGTTTTGTTTTACATGGGAAGTGATTTTAAATTTCTTATTGTTATCCTTAAGTCCTGGAGCTGAGGGATTGTGTATGCAAAAAGCGCTCCTAAGTTAACCTTCATTTTGGGTTAGGGGACCATGTGACTGACCATAACAGCGAGGTTAGACATTCTGAAACATGGCACTAAGTGAGAATATCGCCATGATGAATGAAAGCGACTTCAAAATGACCGATAAATGGGGTAAGGGAAACTAAATTGGACCTAGCTCTGCAAGTTGAGTATATTTTCCGGCCTAACAACAATGAAAGTGAAGCTATTAGGTGCAGCTGTAAGATGAAAAATTGAATATCTGATTTGTTAGATATCGAGGTCGTCAGAGGTCAGACTATGACGTCATGACGGGTATACCCAAAATATCGGACTCTGGAGACTAAATATGAAATTTAAAACTGGAGGAATGATATATTAGTTTTATTCAGTGTTTCTGAAAGAGTACAACATGGGTGTTTTTTAAACAATCATCTCTGAATTATTTCTCAAATTAAACCTCTGGTGGTGTTTTGATTTTTTGTCAAAATCCAAAATATGAAAAAATATACTCGAATTGAACTGCAAACCTAGAAATTCTATGAGAACTGTGAGAAGGCCAGTTGAATGTTAGATAATTGTTAAAAAGTAATTGAAATGGAATTATAGGCACTAATAGGCTTCACTGGATGATGATTACTTGTCTTTTCAACCTGAACTTGGAAGGTCAAGAGGTCATTTAGGTTCACTAATGGTCTCTTTTGGTCAATCAAAAGTAAAAATCACAAATTTGAACTCTGTTTGGATACTTTGGGTGTCTTACGGTGAAAGGATCCTTCTGATACTATCACATCTCAAATTACTAGGTTTTTGCAAGCTTTGTCTGAAGCCTGGCAGCCACAGTATGGACAAGCCACAGTATGGCATCAGCCGTAATATTCTTATTACACACACACAGAAAATTATTTAGAAAATCACCATTCATTCAATCTCTTCAGATCTCAACGCCACTCTATGTCTGGCTGGTTTGGCACAACTTCCATGACATCCTCACACACACACACATGTACCTCAAGTGGCTGGGCAGTTGGGCGACTGTGAGGGAGATCTTCAGTCACGCCACAGGCCAGCCACAAGCCACTACATGTGTACACTCCTATTCACTGCCATTGACCTGGCAGTTGCGCTTCTAGCAGTCGCGCCTCTAAAGTTGCTCGTCTGAACAAGGTCTCAGTGTCGACCATGTTCATTACTGAATGAGTTAAATTTTTTCTGAACTGGACCATTGCACGCCCCATGGACCACATTACCCTTATACACATGATGGGTCCCCGGGCAAACTAAACAATATCATTGTTTTTTATAATATATATATATGTATATATATACATATATATGTATGTATCATCATCATTGCGGAGCTAACGCCGACGGGGGCGCATAGCCGCATCCACCCTTTGCTTGTACCTGCGAGGATCTCTCATGGCAAGATGCCAGGCAGGGACTCGGCCCATCTCAAGCTCCTCACGACAGGTTTGATCGATCAGCCCAAGCCATGACTTCCTCGGTCGACCCACAGGCCTCCTCCACCCAGGGTTGTCTCAAACAGAGACAACCTGGTGGGCGGGATCATCCTTGGGGAAGCGAGCCGAGTGGCCGTAAAGCCTGAGTTGGTGATCACGGATTGTGCAGGTGATAGGTCCTGTGCCAGTCTCACGGTGCAGCCATTGGTTGGACACATGGTCCTGCCAACAGTACCCCATGATCCGGCGCAAGGACCTATTACAAAAGGCATCATGTCGAGACTCCAAGGCGCAGGATAGTGTCCAGGTTTCACTACCATATAGCAAAACTGGGACTATCAGGGCCTTGAAGACATGGAGCTTGGTCCTGCACAGGTACATCTCCAAATACTTTTGTCGAGAGAGTTCATGACCCCTGCTGCCAGGCCAATCTGTCTACTGACTTCATGGTCTGACAGCCCAGAGTTATGAACTACACTACCAAGGTATGTAAAGCTCTCTGTGACTTCAATGTCCTCGCCGCAAACATGTACCGACTGAACAAGTTCTCCTAATATGTCCCCAAAGTCCTGGATCTTGGTCTTGGTCCAGGAGACCTCTAGACCCAAGGGCTTCGCTTCATTACTAAATGCAACGAGAGCCACCACTAAGGATTCCAAAGACTCAGATAGTATGGCAACATCATCAGCAAAGTCAAGGTCGGTAACCTTGATATTGCCCAGAGTTGCTCCACATTGACTTTGAATAGTAGCTCTGCCCATTATCCACTCCATGCAAGTGTTGAAAAGCGTTGGTGCAAGGACACAGCCTTGCCTCACTCCTGAACTAACAGGAAAGAAGCTTGACAGGCCCCCACCACACTTTACAGCACTTTTAGTACCATTATACAGACTTGCTATTAGTCCAATAATCCTTGTTGGAATACCTCAGTTTTAAGATTTCCCAGAGTGATTCCCGATGCACCGTATCGAATGCCTTCTTGAGGTCGATGTAGGATGCAAGCAGCCCACGCCCGAACTCACGACGACGCTCTATAATGACTCGAGGCGCTAGGATACGGTCTATTGTGGACTTACCAGGAGTGCATCCAGATTGCTCCAGTCTCTGATGCCTCAGTAGGTGGTCTCTGATACGTCTCAGAAGGATGCGGGCAAGAACCTTGCCTGGTATACTGAGCATTGTGATGCCTCGGTGGTTGTTGCAGTCCCATCGGTCCCCCTTCCCCTTCCAGAGAGGGATGACCACACCCCTCAACAGGTCAGGGGGAACGGTACCAGGCTGCCAGATGGCATGCAACCCCCGCGCCATGGGTTCACCACCAGCCTTTAACAGGTAAGCAGGGATGCCGCATATACCAGCTGCTTTACCACTCTTCAGCTTGGAGATCGCCCCCCTAACTTTGGTTAGGGAGGGGGCATCCTCACTGATGGGTGGGTCCGGCAACGGAATCTCGGCACTACCCGCATCCAAGTTAACTGCTGGTGGGTCAACCTGGTACAACTGCTCAAAATACTCAGCTCAATGTTCCCGCACCGCAACAGGATCTGAGACGATCTGACCACTTCCTGAGCGAACTGCTGTCACCTGTGAAGAGGGCTTGGAGTTCAGCTTTCTCAGGGCTTGGTATGCAGGACGAAGGTCATTTACTAAGAAATGGCCTTCTACCTCCTCAGCAAGGTTCCAAATAAACTGTTCCTTGTCCCTTCTTAACAAAGACCGAGTTCTGCGCACCTGAGAACGATGCAAATCTCTATACCCTGCCAGATGAGCCACAAGACAAGCATCTGTGGCATCCAGTGTCTCTTGCGAGATGAAATTTCGCCTTGCTCTTGGGCGTTCACCAATCGTCTCTTGGGCTGCATCAAGCATTTCACATTTGAAGGTGTCCCACAGAAGTACAGGGTCCATCAGATTTTCGAGTACTGTGAAACGACCAGAGACTGCCTCACCAAACCCCCGGGCACATTCCCCCTCCCTCAGCCTGTCCAAGTGAAACACCCTGGGGTGATCATTGGTCCACTGGGGGGTTTTGAAATGGACTCAGAGGGTAGCCACAACTAATCTATGGTCAGTACCCCAGAATTCGGCACTCCTATACATTCTGCAATTCTGGAGGATCCTCCGAGTGCTAACGAGTATGTTGTCGATCTCCTTGGCTGCATTACCCGCATCACTGTACCATGTCCAGCTATGTGGGTCTGGGCGCTGGTACCAGGAGCCAGAAATCCTCAATTTCTGGGACCTAGCAAAGTCCCGGAAGAGTAGGCTATTCTCGCTGCCGGTATCAGCTCCCGAACCATGAGGACCGACAGACATCTCATAGCCAGCTCGATCACAGCCAGATACCGCATTGAAGTCACCCAGGACAACACGAATGTCTCGCCGGGGGCACCTGTCTGACACAGACGCTAGTTTGGCGTAGAACATCTCTTTCACATCAAGTTTACAAACATCGGTAGGAGCGTACACAGCAATAAGAGACATGAAGCCAAAAGACAGCTTCAGTCTCATTACCATTATACGCTCATCGACTGGAGTAACCTCTACTACCGAGGGCTGAAGTCTGCTGGAGATGGCCATGGCTACTCCCAGGAGATGGTGACCGTCGCTGCGGCCTGACCAGTAGTAGGTGTAGCCACCTACACTGATCGTGCCGTTGCCAGGTCTCCACACCTCCGAGAGGGCAGCCACTTCCACTCTCAGCTTCCCCAGTTCCCTTGACAGCAGAGGCAACCGATCATCCTGACGCAAAGAACAGACGTTCCAAGCCCCCACCCTGACTCCCCGCCTGAGGTTTAACCTCGGGCAGTCGCTCCGGGTGGACGTCACCTCTGCCACCCCCGACGCTGCTCCACATATAAGGGGACGGCAGGCTGTGGAACCCATCATCCGCCTACAGGCTCCCGAAGGCTTTCCCCCGTAGGCTTCACTCCGGGCTGGCGTCTACCAGAACGCAGGCGGGATGAGTTCTCGTTCCCGACCTGCGTCCCGGAAGTCGCCCTCCCAGCGGGGTCCACAGCCTGCTTCTCTTGCTGGGTGGGAAGAGCA